CTCTCTCTCTCTCTCTCTCTCTCTCTCTCTCTATTGACTCTCATAATTTATTTAAGTTGTAGTAAAGGACAGCAGGGCATTTAAAACTAGGTGACAGATTCAAGATTAGATTGTTTGGTCAATTTTAAGAAAGAAAAAAAGGAAATGGTTTTTCGAGTTGAATGGTATTCTCCTTTAAATAATAAAAAAATTATAAAGCCTGTATTTACATTGCATATTGCAAAGGGAAGTAAAAATAGATGAAATAACAAATGCATTATTATTTATATTATATTATTTGTTAAGCACAATTCAATTGTTTTTCTAACCTTATATTACAATGACATGTCCCTGTATGTCTATAACACACTGCGGTATCTGCTTCAGATTTGAATCGAGTCTCTCCAGCTTACTCAATAGTCGATCATCGGAGTTCACTCCTGCATTTTTCAATATCGCCGGAAGCTGTCGAATCTGACTTGCCGTGGCAGAAGTGACCCAAGTGTTGATCAGTGAATGAAGTTCTGAGGTGGTAAGTCCTGAAACTGCTTGTTTTTTGCTGTCCTTAGTCGGAAGCCTGTGTGCGAAACGACGCAGACGCCTGCCGGGAATATTGTGGTGGATGAAGAAAGCTGGGAGTATCTCTTTGAGGTAGTCGCCCCCGTCTGCAAGAAAAACAACAATGTCCTTCAGATGAGACTGTTTGCTCGTCATGGAGCCATTTTAATGGCCTCAAATGTACAGGTTTAATAAGGTCACATGTGGAAGTCATTTGCAATTATTTGCAATAAAGCTTCAAATGTACATTTACATTCCCTAGGCAGCTGACTTTCAGCTCTTGGGAGTCTCAGGGTCTATGAAGACAACACAAATCAGTCCCTTTTTATGACAGCATAAGTGCAAGATGATATGTGACAGGGCCTTGGGACTAACGGATTACATTTAACAGCATTATATAATCAGGATAGAAAAAAAAGGTAACTGTGTTTCCTTACAGTTACATAAAAAAAGATGTAATCAGATTACATTTCCATTTGATAAAATTAGGATAATTAGTATTAGTTACATATACATTTACATTTTTAAATAAAGATCAATATATTATGGCACTGTCTGAATTTTATTTTTGTTTTTTCCTTTATACTTAATTTTTTTAGTATATGCGATAATCTCCAAAAACAAAGACATTTTCCCCTTCTTCCTTATAGGACCTTTATCAGCTGTTCACCTTTTGATTTGAGGTCTTGGCAGTTGGCGCACACGCTGTCGTGCCAGGCGGAGCCCTTCAGCACCAGCTTCAGCCCTGGAGCAGCGCAGCTCTTGTGTTGTGTGCAGTTCTGGAGAGCAGAGGAGGTGTCGGAGTAGGTCTCATAGGGACAATTGCGGCAAACAGTGTCCTCGTCAGGTGTACCTGGAGAAGATATTTGTTCTCAATATAGGACAAACCACATACTGCATGATGTCCCTGTGAAGATATCTGTCCAATATTAATCTTACTTTTATTGTAGGGACAGATACTAAACCTCTTCAGTCTTTACATCCGACAGATGAAACCCAACCAAAAACAGCAACAACAACAGCATATTGCTTTGTGACAAACATTAGAAGGGTATATGTGACAATTTACCTGTTTTCAAGCATTATTCCACATATTTTTAGTTGCTATACAATACTTTCCATTTTAACTTTAAACACAGTACAAGTTACAGCTTTGTGCCACTTAGGGGCAGTACACTTCAGTCTAAAAGGATGTCAAAACTCTTCCCTATCAGTGTTTTCATGCCTGCTTTGACATCGTTATGTAATATGTGTGCGTGGTTACATTTGTTTAATATGATGCCATGGTAACGATGTGGCATACATATAGGCCAATGTGAATACAATTTAGATTGTAGAATCTTGAAGGAAACATGCTGATTTTGGTGATTTAACAAGTTCATAGGGATGTCTTACTGTAACATAATTACAATCCTTATTAAATAAACTGATTTAAAAGCATTATTTACCAATTTTACAAGAGGTATCCTGTTTAAAAAAATAAAATAATATACACTGAACTCCTATAGTGTCCCACAATGCATTGTGTGTTATTATACAGTAACAACATGTTTCAATTGTGTTATATAGAGAATTTTCTGAATCTTAAAGGTTTTTATTATTGAGGCATCAATAGGCGGGTATCAATACCATTCAGTTTTTCTGGATTGGCAGGAATATAAATTGCGTTTTTTGTTTTACTATAATTAAGTAAAGCCTATTTATAACAACCGTGCTATACCCCTTGGTTTTTTATTCCCCACCTGCCAAACATAAATCGAGCAAATGCTCTAAGTCTAGAGCCTACCTTTGGTCAGCACCTCTTGACCGGAAGGACACTCTTTGTGGCCGGAGCACATGTCGTTGTGGCTCTGGTAGTAGTATCCCTGTTTGCACTGACACTGGCAGTCACGGTCTGCGGTGCACGCGGTCTTCACCTCCTGGTAATAGCCACACGCGCTGCATCGTAAACACCTACTGATGTAATTCCACAGCTCCGTGAACGAGCCCGACGGACAAGGCGCGCAGAAGCTCTTCTGCGTCGCTGTGCAGCGTGCGCGCAGGTAGGTTCCCGGGGGACACTTGTCGCACTCCAACGACTCTTTGGTGGCCGAATCTGTGTACGTGAAGGTCCGGACGGCGGGGAGTACTTCTTCACTCCGGGCCACCCGCAATGAAAGCAGCAACAGCAGCAGCGGCAGCGGGAAGAGAGAAACCAACATCTGGAAGTGAGGAGGAACCTGGAAAAGAAGGAAGTAAATGCGATGTTATTTAAGGAATAAGGAAGTTTAAAAAGGAGAAATACTGGAAAATAACAGTGCAAGGACAAGTTGCACATCTGGAACCGGTTAGTCCAATCTAATTTGCTAACATCCAGGAAATATTATCTTTACTCTTATTTCCAGCAGTGCCCAGGTAAAGCATATTATTTTAAGGAATTCCAATAAATCACTTATATTTACTATCTTTTAGCACCAACAACTAACCAGAATATTTCAATGTTGTCTTCTAATATATATAAAATAGAGAAAGACCTTCTAAAAGAATATTTCCTGAGGGTTAAAGTGTTGCAGACAGACATGTTTGCAGTGAGAAGTCTCAGCATGTCTGCCCTCTGCACCCCCCTCCCCACCTACCATCGTTAAAGTGTTGAGTTCCAGGCCTAAGGGTGGGATGGTGCTCTCTCTACGCCCTCTGCTCTGCTATTTATTATATGCAGCTCTGACGAAGATAGATACAAAAAAAACTCATTATGAATCATGACACTGCATTTTGTCATCACAAAGGTTTATTGACTCATTACTTAGGAAGGATTCTCCACTAAATAACCTTTTATACTATGTTATTACAAGCTTTCCCCAAATAGACATTTATTGTTTTACTCTAGGACAATATCTCCACAAATTAAACTTCATCCATCCCAAATTTGAGATACCAGGAGATTCATGGCAGTTTTTTTATTTTTCAGCCTATTTACGTGATTACTCATGTTTTCCACAAAATAGTTTGCAGTCATTATGGCTAATAATGGTCTTCTCTAGTATATTTTGTATCATACTATTACATACTTTAAGTTTATAATGATATATGTATTTTGTTTTTTAAAATAAAGTTATTTTGTGATTTGTTCAATGGATAATGTTGATTTTACTCTTATGCTTTAGTGAGGTATTCATCAAAAGTATATCAGACTAAAATATTTTCAAAGTGGTAATACATGTAATTAATATTGCTGGGAGAAATGGAACTGTTTTAAGCGAATTGGCTAAAAATGGGCATTACATTTTAAGGCTTTATGTTTTAAATGTATATATTGTATTCATGCTGCTGCTCACATTTGTCAGTTGGGATGTTTCCATGTTAATTGTTGGAAATATAAAGCCTCTACTGTATGTGTATGATTCGAAAATATCAGTCTTTGTTACTCCTGGTGGAAGTATTGTAAATGTCCTCCTTCAAATTCCCTTTTTAGAACGTACGAGGGATGAGTCATGACTTTAATACAATTATGACTCAGTCTTTACTTTTCTCGAAACAGCCATCAGCAGTAAAGCATCCCTTTCTCATCTCACCAGATGCATCAGAGTGACTGACTGTTACCATTGAGAACTGACGGTGACATCTTGTGGACAAAAGACATAGCTGTTGGGCAGGGACGTGCACGGACATTTTGGGGGGCGGGTGCTCAAGTGAGAAAAAGGGCACTTCCCCTAATCATTTAAAAAAAAATGTTATGATTTACTGACCAATTTATTTTAATACCCTCACACTCACGTAATTGTTCAATACTCAGCAGAATTCTACAAAATAATCAGCTAACACAGAGACAATGGTCTTCTTTTGTATTCACAATTCACAAGAGCAGACAACAAACTAGTAAAATTAATAGTTATTAAATGAGAAGCGAACAATCAAAATTATGAAGTTACTGTTTAAGGACATTAGAGGCAACAAGATCGATTTTTCATGTAGCCTAGTATACTTGTTATTTTGGTCTATTTTGCTTCCTTATTTTCTTTCACTCTAATGGAAGTAAAACTGCCAAGAAACACAAATGGTGTTCGTTTTATACCATGTCTGAATTAATCTATAGATTTATAGCTAATCTGCATTTAAACTTAACATTATGAAAATACTGACTTGACGTAAGTAACTATATCTAGGGAAGTTGTGAGGTGATATGTTTTAAAAAAAAATCCTTTTCACCTCCAATGCCTTGGTAACTGCATGCAAATTAGCGCATTTTAATTAGGCCAAATTAACGCCTAATTTGCATATCAATGTGGTGATTGTGATGACGTTATTATTAGATACACATTTGACTGTATTCACTTTAAGTGTCTCCCCTTAAGTACAGTACATTAGCCTGTATGCCCATGATAAATTGCCTTAGCTAAACCTTGAGCTAACTTATCCATTAGCTAGTAGCCTACCTTAGTTAACTATATTTGTTCTTGTCTTTTAGTTAATTAGCTGTAAACTCGAGGCACTGGCAGTTTAGTAATTTGTTCATCACCAGTCACCTTCAAAATAAACCAAGAAAAGCCGGCATGACATGGGACATTAAAGTGGGAGTTGCAGGCCCGGTTCTAAGGGGGTGCATTGCACCATCAATTGAGTCGTTATGCACCCTCATTTGAAAAATGAAAAGTGAAAAAAAATATTAAAAGTGAAAAATATTACATATATAATAACAATAATAATAATAATAATAATAGTAGTAGTAATAATAATAATAATAATAATAATAATAATAATAATATAGTTGAAATAAAATGTATCGTAATTGTGGTTGAATAACATTTTCTGCTGCATTTATTTGGTCAATTTAAACGGTAAGTAACGCTATTATGTCAGGTGCGCGTGACCTGTGCCGCTGCACGTTCATCCACTGCAAGGTGCTTATACAGCAGCCAATGATGGACATCAGAAAATGGTTAAAACAACCAGCCCTTATCGCCAGCAGTTACACTGCATCTACTGCAGGTAATAACCAAGCCCCCAGGAAGTGCGCTGGACTCTGAGGAAAATATTCGTTGTGGCCAAACGGCGGTACTACACTTCCGTTAGGTTGCTTGGCCCGGAAACATATGGATCATTTTTTTTAAACTAAATAAACTACCCAGTATGAACGTTTGTATAGCCCTTATTAAAAACATTCAGTCCTCAAGTTGTAAAATGAGCTAATAACGTTATTCTGAGTTATTTCCCTCGGCATTATGAACGCACATCTAACCCACGGGACCGCGCCGCCCGGCACGTTCATGTTACGTGTTCAGTACTATATGCGTTTTACCTTTACCCATGGATGCACAATAAGAACGGACCATATCGCCTTACTGCCATCCCACGGAGCTGTAATAATGGATATATTGCACATGTTTGCTGTAATTCATCATTTGTAAAATATTATGCTACATGGGCTGTAATGATGTAAATCTTATACCGTAAATGTTGTATTAAATAAAGTTAATATTACCGACGTAGATTAACGTCCCTGTAGCTTCTTATTGCACTAAGAAGCTTATTGTACTGTATATGTATATGTATATATATATATTAGGGCTGTCAAGTTAACATGTTAATAACGTGTTAACGCGTTAACGAAAAAAAAAATTAACGCCACTAATTATTTTAACGCGATTAGAGCATGTGTATTTTTTGTCCTCGGCCGCCCCGTAGTTTCAGAGCGCATCGAGTTTAAAATACCATCTACAAGCTGATGCTGACAGCCCCGCTCCTGTCGCCTGCTTGCGGCAGACCACACTTCCACGCTCACCGGCAGGCCCGGCAGGCCATCGGGAGGACTGGGAGGGTGTGTGTATGTGTGGCGCGAGAGACAGACCTTACGTGTATTGTTGTTGTTGTTGTTGTTAGCATCTGGTGCTAGCTAGCTGCGCTAACAGATATAAGGAGCTGTTTCAATGAAAACGGAGGAGTGACATTTCGCCGACAACTGCGCCGAGCACTTCACTTTATGCAGGTAGCCAGACAAAGGGACATAGTACGAAAAGTCAGCACACTCAGCACGGATAGTGCGCGCAACATGATTGCAGCGTCCAGGCAGCTCCCGTTCGAGCATATGCCTTGAGTTGCACATAGCTCCAACGATCCAACACACACACACACACACACACACACATACACACACACACACACACACACACACACACACACACACACACACACACACACACACACACACACACACACACACACTGAAGGATTATTTGAGTTATTTGAAGGATTAAAGTAACGTGTTATGGCAGGAAAGTTCAATCTGGTATATTCATTTTAATGTCACCTTATATATTCGTGGGTGTTAAATTTGAAAGTTGTTAGAAATTAAAATCAATGTTGATATGGCGTAATTTGAATTAAATACACTATTTGATTTAAATCAGTTTTATTCTGAAAAACCGGAAGTTCTCACTATTAGCTTAACACTTTTATTCTGAAAATTCGTCACTTCCGGTTAGCATTTAGCATCTGGCGGAATCATACGATTTCAAACCTTGAACCAAGGTGAAATGACATGTGATGTTGTACACTGTGTTGTACAGACGCCAGAATGATGCAATTTAGCTACAGAAAAAGGCAGGAATTGCATTGGACCCGCCCCCCGACAACGCCGGCCAATAGGAGAAGACCTCAGATGACAACAGGAAGAGCAAGCCAAGAATTGATCTCTTCGACCCCCTGACCTGAACTGACCGGTCGGATGTGGAGAGCGCCTGCTCGGAGGTGTGAGGAGGCCGTCCACTCGGCACGTGTTTATTTTGTGTACCACCACGCGTCTTTTGTCGGCGGGGTGCTTTAAGTTAGAATGCTGTGTGTAAGCTTTTATAAGCTTTTCCCTGACTCTTTTCGGAGTCTCTGCTGCTTCAGGGTTCTAGAATTGCTTTCAATTTGCGGTTCCCTTGCG